AGGTTTTCGCTTTATTTTTACATTTATCGATTACAGTGCGATGTTTTCGTCGCGCTGTGATGACGTCACGTACGCGCTTTCGTCGAGTGTGCTTTTGTCTACTGCGGTTTTGTGGTGGAACCGGTAAAAATGAGGACCCGGATTGTTGTTGGGGGCAATATGCTGACTCTGTAAACCGCTTAGAGAGGGCTGAAAGCCCTATGAAGCGGTATATAAGTCTAACTGCTATTGCTATAATTTTGTTACCTGTGGTTGCTACTCTTGAGTGTGACTAACAAAGGCCACCTGTCCTCATATTTTCCATTTACCAGCAAAGTAAATAAAGTGTGGGGGGAAATCACAGTTCTTTCTATCTATTGTCATCTCCACCCCCATCCTGCCCAAATAAATAAATAAATATGTCTCTTACGTACTAGAGACAGTGCAGTTCAAATGCCATTAGAGGACATGACAAGACCGAGGTTTGAAGAGGGAGATGGAAAAATAAACAATGAGCGAAGAAGAACAAAATGTGATGCCCTTTTAGAATTAAACTGCATAGCAGCTCGTCTTAAAAATTATATCCCGGCCTAATTTCAGGCATTTTCAGGCAATAATTGCTTTGCTTTGTAGGAAGAATGTATGATAGCAAAACACCAGAAAGAGTCTAGTAACACCTTTTCGACTAACACTTTTTTTTAAAATTAAAAACATAAACTTGGGTCTTTTAATATAAGGTGTTAGTTGGAACAAGTGTCACCTGACTCCTGATTTTTCCACTTCTGGGCATTGTGATGATTTTTGTTACTATGTACATACCTATGACTATGTAAGAAGCATTTTAAAAGGCAACCATTCATCTCGCTGATTACTGATCCTTTAGAGACTGATCTGGCCCTTTATAATAATTGGATGGTTTCAAATTTGCATTAGAAAAGTCATCAAATTCTTTTGCATGTGTCTTAATGAGAGGGGGGGGAGATACAAATGAGCAAACACAGACATAATTTAAATGGAAATGAAATAAGACAAATGTCAGCTTTTGTCCTGGCCCCACTGATTTTTCAAGGGTAGCCTCAACATCAAGACTGCCAACTATTAAATTATGCATCGCTCATGTAAAAGGAAGCCTCGTGTATTAGTAGACGTTTAAGATTCACAGGAAGATAAATATTTAATTTGTTTCTTACAGTACTATTTTACATTTCCTATTCTGGAGTGACCAACTATGAACAGGGATTTTGGCCTTTGATTTTCATTCAGAATTGCTTAAGAAAAGGCATTTCAGGAAATAAATAAAATCTTCATAGATATGCAGTTCCTGATAAAATCCCTTCCATAGACCAAAGTACAAATTGTATCATTCTACCTGTCTGACTTATTGCCAATTAGCAATAGCAATAGCAATAGCAGTAGACTTATATACCGCTTCATAGGGCTTTCAGCCCTCTCTAAGCGGTTTACAGAGTCAACATTAATGTTAGAAATCAATGAAAGCAAATAAATAATAGTAATAATATTATTATTAACCAAATTGAAAAGATGAAGAAAAATGTGCATCTTTTTTTCCCAGGAAGGAAGACCCACTTCCTATAATATTTCCTGGGTCACTGATATCCTCCTTTTTGTCTTCCCAAATCTTCGAGACTAAG